TCCAGATCACATGACCACGTCTGTTAGTGTAGCCACAGTGTTCATATTTGACACACAACTCCGAGCGTGCACTAAATCATGAAGCAGGGTGTAAATTCCTGGCCAGAGAGTCGGGTTAGTCTGGAAGATCTGGAACCTGTAGACCAGTGTTGACTAAACAAATACCCACACCGAGACATTTTGGATTAAAGAGTCGGCTTCATGGTCTTCATGTTGTGCAGAAGGGTAGATGTAGAGTGTACGTTGATATCTTCCAAAAAAAACAGATTGATTGAAGCAAATAAATACAGTGTAGATTTTAATTAATTAATTCCAGACAGGAGAGTAGGTTTGGTTAAATGTTTGAATAATGGAGGCTAGAAAATAATAATACACCCAGAGCCGGGCAGCTTCTTGTACTTTCTATCTCCCCCACCATGTACTATCATCTATTTTCATGTACTGGCACAACAGAGTCTGTGTGTGTCCATGGCAAAGTGGGTCAACCAAGACAAGATGGCGGAGGCCAGTTAACACATATGGCCTAAGATTGATAGGAAGGATCAAACATGACTGAATCGGCCTGGTTTAGTGGAGAAACACTTCATTCTGGATTTCTCTCCTCTGGTTTCTGTCCACCGTTCTTCTCTCTGTTTACTTCTACATGAACAAACTCAGCTTTACTGATCACTGTTTTCAGATTTATTTATTCAGACTATCAAGTGCTAAAAAAAAAACATGTTGATTTTTCTTCTCATTTAACCTTTATTTAACCAGGGCGGACCAGTCGAGGACCGGTTCCTTTTGTACAAAGAAAACTTCAGTGTGGACTTTATATTGGCTTCAGTTCCATCTTTTCAACCATCTAACCTTTGACCTTACTCCAGTCCTAAAGAATGACAAGGCTGTTGATTCATGTCACATTCAAACAATGTGGAATAATTAATAATAATTATCAATATCAGGAATATCCCTTTAACTTTTCTCCTGACAGTGGAGTGCTGTTCAAATATACCATGAGTCAGCTCTTTTTTGAAACGGAACTAAATTCATATTTTATTGCACCTGAATGCACCACTGCTACTCTGTGATACAAGATCATAAGAACAAACAACAAGAAACGCCATCTCACTACAGTACATGGACAGTGCTTGGTAAAACTATAGACCGTGTATAAGTACTTCATATCCATTCATTATTTTTTGCTATAACATCAATTCAAGAAAATGATTTTTTTTTTACATTAAAGCAAATACTGACATGTTTACTTTTGTATTTCCAGTCTAGATGGAGGGACAACATAAATATAATTTACTGAAAAAATACAAAAATACATTCTTAGTAATGAGATGAAGTTTTAATTTGTTACACTTGTAACATATGCCAGGCTGGTCAGTCAAGCATCCGTTCTCAGTGTCTACAAACCCATGCGTTGGGTGTTTTGTAATGTTTTGTAATGTGTGCAGAATGAAGCCTGGCATCCTGCTGAGAAATTAATGGACTTCCTGGGAAAAGTCCTAGTCTTCACTGGAGCGTATGCTTCTCTGTAATCCCAACATCAGCATCAATGGTAGCTTCTATTATGTATACACAGATTTTCCAGTGTGATGACTGTCGACATACCCTCGGCCATCACGGCTCTTTGTTTTTGTATTTGTCGTTCTTAACGGTTTGGTGAACTCAGAATTTCTGCACAAGGTGACAAATAACTCAACACAGTATCATTCTTGAAGATGGAGGATCAGCTTCTGTCGATCTGACTGATCAACCTGTAATGGAGCAAACTGACTGGCACGTATTGTTTTCCCTGCCATTTGAGACGCCGCAGCCGTTGGAGAGGGCAGTCGTTGGTGTGTGTACGAGTCTACTTCTTTGTCGTTACATGCCAGGCAACCAGGGACGACGGCATTATTCTTAATTACACTCAGACAGCTGTGACCCAAACAATAGAGGGAGGAGAACTCGCCAAGTGGATTAATTCACACACCTCCCAATGCTAGAGCTTTAAGGTGGTCACACTACTTCACATACCACTGTATGTTGTTGTCCCCCCGATCAGGCATCCTGGATGGGTAGCCTCGACGCTAAAACCAGAACTGTTTTCCTCACTTCACCTCCATCCAAAACCCCTGCCTACCCAAGAGTTAGTGTTTAATGGCTGATACTGTTGGTGCCCATTTACTTATTCATTATCTGTTTGCCTACTGTGCCGTGTGTTTAACGGTGCCAGACTGGAGCCTGGCGTTAGGCTGAGATGATGGCAGTGAATCTGCCTGATCGTATTTGGCACGGCCTCAATGGCTACCTGAGTCATCCAGTCTGCCTGCTCACCCTCACACTCCAACACCGGACAAATCGAGCTCTTTCCACATTCCGCAAACAGAAATAGGGATGTTGGCCGGACCTGAAAGATGTCAGAGGATATGGGATCCTACTGATGCAGTGGAGATGTTTGGACACACAGTACGACACACTGTGACTGCGTCTGAGGCTGATGGCACACAGGCAGACAGGAGACACTGTCTTTGATTTCAAACACGTCTCAGTGCCTGTCATGTATGATGAATATATTTAGGAAACTGTGTGTATGTGTGTATTTGTCTTTGCCCTTATGTCAGAACCTGGATGCATGTATGTATTGAGCCATGTTTTCCTATAAACTCTGGAAATCCACAGGATGAACTTGTAGCTGGTCTGTTGCGATGAAGGTGTGTGTTGCCGTTCCTCGGCGGTGCACGTCTGTACTGTATTTTTGTGATACGCTGAGGTGCGTCATGCTGCTGTGCTAATGTTGATACGTGTTGACACTCTTGCTGTGCAAGCTATGGGAGCCTCAACCATTTACAGTATGTGCGTGTGTGTGTGTGCGTGTGTGTGTGGTTTATTGTCATTGTGGTCACAGTAGATGTTGCAGCAGATGCAGCTGCAGCAGCAGCACAAGTGTGTTTTCAGTGTGTGTAGGACTCGTCGTCTTATCCTTTACATATATGTTGGGAATAGATAAGGATGGAGTGTATCAGTGCTGCACTCAATCAAACCAGCATCATACAACAGTAAAGCAGTGCATTTTCATCCCCTACCCCACATTCAGACTCCTGTGACCCAGACAATGGTGGAAACCAGCCTGTGATACTCAGACAGAGACAGAAAAACAGAGAGCGACAGCGAAAA